CAACAACTGCGGGTTCAACAACCACGATTGCAACAACTGCGAGTTCAACAACCACGATTACAACAAATCAGTCTACGATTACAACAACTGGTTTGTCAATTTTTTTTTCTAATTATATATTTTTTTATTTTTATTAGTTCAATCAAATTTTAATCCGATTAATAATTGTACTTCAGGATCATTTGGTATAAATTGTATGTTTACTGATAGTATTTGTAATACAACTCAATTATGTTTCAATAATGGTAGTTGTATCGAAAATAAAACACTGGAAAATGGATATAGTTGTGATTGTTTGGAAGGTTTTGAAGGCATTGATTGTCAAGATGATGAAAGACTATGTAAACCATTTACATGTTTTGACCGAGGTTAAAATTTTTTTTGAAGAAATTCTTCATAATATTGATTATTATTTAGGTAATTGTACTAATATATCGAGTATAGATTTTAAATGTACATGTGATGATGGATATAAAGGTAAAAATTGCGAAATAACAGTAGATTTATGTAATAATGTAACATGTCAAAATGGTGGTGTTTGTTTTCAAACATATTTAAATTATACATGCCAATGTCTCTCCGGCTATAAAGGACTTCATTGTGAAATAGCTGAAACAAGTGGTATTATACGTACTTATGTTGCAAAAAGTATCCTTAAATTTTTAATTTGAGATTTTTTAGTAAAGTCTTTTTTTTATATTTAAGGTTTTGGTTATATAGCTATTTTAATGCTTTCTGGATTGATCGGATTTCTTGTTATTATGGATGCATTAAAGTATATATTTGGTATTGATCCAGCTCAATCTCAACGTAATTATATGCGAAAAAAATATCTGGAAAAGTTTAGGAAGAAAAAAAAGATTATACAGCCAAAAGTGATACGACGATTTCATTATATAAATTAAAAAAAAACTAACTCACATGTAATTACAAATATATAATCACATTTATTTATTCATGTCTTGTCCTATGCTTAATTTCAGTATTGTTTATCATTTATTCTCATTATCACAATAAATTTTAAGGGAAATATTAAATCAAAACATTATTAATTAAGTCATTAAAAATTGTTTTTTATCAGAATGCTAGTTTATTATACGAATTTGAAAACAAAATTACATGAAGTTACTTATTCTAAGCGATTAATAAGTTCGTTCGTTCATATACATTATTCGAAAACTTAATCGTGTATTGATTTACTAAAGAAATGAAAAATATAAATAAAAGAAATAGAATATATATCTAACATACGATTCAGTTTCAGGATTTTTATTGATTTCATTGCTTGGTACTGTATTTGTAACAAGACTACCTGAAATCATAAAATATTTCTTTGTACGATTTTCGAACAAAACAAATTCAACGATCTTACTTCCTTGCATTGTTGAAGATTGTTGATTTTCTTGAGCACCACCATAACTCTTTATCATATCCATATCATTTCCAGGACCAATTTGAGTAGGTGGTTCAACAGAATCTTGAAAAGGAGAATTTATAATAATGAATGTAAAATAAGTAGTAGAACAATGATAATGATACTTACTGGAAGACATATTTTATTATAATTGACCTGAAAAAAAGAAAATAGGTGATATTTTTCGATCTCATCTATGTGTTTTTAATTTTCTTTAGATCATCTCTTATGAGATACATGACTCATGTAAATTAATCTATTCTACTATTTTAAATAAATTGGAAAAAAAACAATTTATATTATTTTTGATTGACTTTCTCTATGCATCATTTTGAAGGATTCTCATTTATCCAAATGAGATACCTTTCTTTTTTACTTGTTGATGTTATGTACTCGTTTTAGTCGTGTAAAACAGCAAATCAATATCGTATTTTTTAATAATAGATGTCATTATAATCTGTATATATCAACCTGTATTCATATCTGTGTGATAAATCGTTTTTTTTTGAAAGCATGAACAAGAGTTTAACCTTACAAAAAAATTGAGATCATAAGTAATATCATTCATTTTACTGAGGAAAGATATTTTCTAAAAATATGATGTTTGAATATATCAAATATATCTTTCTCGAGAGTCTGTATACAGGATTTTACCAATAATGATTTTAACTGCCGATAGTCAGTTACATATATCTTTTGAGTTAATTTATCGTTTATTATACTTTGTATCATAACAGAATATCGTTTTAACATGTACCATACTCAAGAAAATAAATTTCGTGATGATTATCTGTGAATCATATAGAGTAGATGTGGCGCTGAATGACTAACAGATATTTTATCTAAGAATTAAAATAATCATCAATATGCTTCTATTTTGAAATCAAATGACGTTTTTTGTCGATTTTTTTATTTGTCACAGAAAAAATGAGTTAACAGAGACTCGTCATCAACCAAAAACATAGGTGACGTACACATAGTACACAGGAAAAAAACACCGTTCTGCTTCTTGTTTTTCTGTCAAGCCACGAGTTCTGTTTTTATAATAGAACACGTTGGCAATCAATCTTGCACAATCAAGAAGTAACACCGACTGTATAAATATGTGCTTACATATCTTCTATAAGCATTTCTTCTCAATTTTATTAAATTATTGTATTCAATGGCTACTACCAATAATAATACTCCAGCGCATGCATCACATGCTTATTTATTCAAAAATGGTTATGGAATGATTGTTAAAACATTTGAATTTCCTTCAAACAACAAAACAAATGGTCAATGTATCGAACTAATGGATCCACCATCAAATCCAGTCCATGGAACATTTTGGATACAATCATTATCCAATAAAAGTATGTTATTTTATCATGAATATTTTAATATTTCATAAAATTTATTTATTTAGCTTCGATTACTTCTATTCGTACAAAAACAACAAAGAAATTTGTTGATAAAGAATGTTTTAGTGTGGAAGATTTAGTTGAAGCTAATGTAGGAGAAAATGTTGAAATTCTTGTTACTGATGATGTACGTCAAACGAAAGAATGGATAACGGGTAAAATAAAATCTGTTAAACGATTTCAAGAATCATCTGACGATGAAGATACAAATGCTGCAATACCGTCAGGTCCCGTTGGCCATTCATTTCCAGGTGAGTTGTAAAATAAAGAAAAATCTTCGTAAGATAAGAAAACTTTTGAGAGTTTTTCTTATCTCAATAATTTTACTCGATAAATATAAATAATTACTGATAAAATTAATACGATAGATAACTTATAGTATATTATTATCTTTATAAATCAAATTGTAATCGATTTTTTGTTATATTTTTATTTTCAGGTCACCATACTATTTCGAGCAGACCACCATCAAGCAATTTTCATTCGTCTCATAACAAATCCGGTGATCTCGTTTTATTTGAAACAGTTGATAACGGTTTGTTAGGATTGACTCTAACAAGTATAAAATCAATTCGTAGTGCAACATTGAAGACAACATATCCACATAAACTCTTCAAAAATTGTTTATCAATTGATTATAAAAATGATTCTGGTTCTAATGATACAGGTTTAATGAAATATCTTACATATGGTATTACATGGGCACCTTCATACAAGTAAAAAAAATTCTAATTATAAATTTATAACTTATCAATATATTTCTTTATTTTAGTTTAGTACTTTTAAATTCAAATGATCCTTCTACAAAAAGATTACGTCTTTCATCGAAAGCTGTTATTTTAAATGATATTGAAAATATGACTGTTGATAATCTATTTTGTATTGTTGGATTTCCAAATATATCAAAATTTGCTTCAGTTATTGATCCAATAATTAGTGGAGATGATGTGAAAACCTTCCTCAATAGTCTAACACAATGTGAAACAACACATAACAGAGGACATGGTCGTAATATGGCAAATATTATGTCGAATTCAATAATGACACAGCAGATGGCTATGCCACCGATGTCATATAATACTTCTATTCCGGATGATACTTCACAAGATGTGAATGTTGATGATCTTCATTTATATGAATTTAAAAATATTTTATTACAAAAAAAAGAACGTTTAATGTTACCAATATTTGATATAGAAATACCCTATAAAGATATTTATCATTGTAAAATAAATTCATTACAATCTGAATATATGCATTCAGGATATGGTGAAAAAAAACCATTCGAAGAAGTAGGAATTTAATATAAAAATTTTTATTATTATAAAATATTTGTTTTTTTAGGTATGGCATAGTGTTGAATTTGAAAATATAACAAATTTTGTTTTAACAACAGCTCCAATTGTAATAACAAAAGGTGACCAAGAACAACAATTTATTGGTCAAGATACATTAACATATACATCAAAAGGACTAACAACTTTTGTTAATTTAACAAAAGCACTCGATGTTCAAATACAAGCAGAAGAAAACGTCGTGAATACAAATCCAAAACGATTTACTTTCCGACGTGCTAATTATCAATCAGATAGTATTGAAGGAAAAATCTCAGTTGTCAATTATAAAACAGAAACAATCGTTGTTGTGATTAATTTATCATTGACAGGAAAAATAACTAATCATTCAGTCGCACCGAAAAAAGATGTGATGAAAACTAATGAAAATACTGTTAATGAACAACATGATATACGATGGGAAATCAATATTAAACCTAAACAAACATTAGATATTACATATAATAAAATATATAATAGAGGAATATAAAGTTTTATGTAATTTTAATAAATTGAAATAAATAATTTGAAATATTATTTAAATAAATGCGGAACCTCGGATTTTATCCGAGAGTTATGTGTACTGCAAAAAGCGGAAATAGATATTGATCTGGTTTTTTTGATTGTTAGTCAACAATAAACAGTTCTAACGGCAGTGTCAGTATATGTGAGTTTTTCATAGTTTTCTGACAGTGCAATGTTGAGGAAACCTCGAACGCACCATACTTACCCCCTATCATTATTCAGAGCTCTTGACAAATTCTATCTAATCCAAAAAAGACTAAATAAGAGGAGTTACGTTTAAATGAATTTGTGTTTGTATCTAGGGGGATTACGATCGTAAGTAACCTCATGAATCTATAAGAGATATATAATAGATACAGACATCAGTATTTTCACAATAGCTCATCAACATTAATAGCTATCGAGTTCGAGTTTTTACTTTTTGATAGTCCCTTTGACTAGCTACCAAACCAGGTACTTAGAAAACCTCAAAATTACTAGTCATCTGAGATATATCTAGGCAATTTGATCTCTGGATACAACTTTTGTGTAGGCATGCACCAATTCCAATTCCAACCAATTCCAATACCAATTCTAGAATTGGAATTGGTTGGAATTGGTAGAATTGGAATTGGTTGGAATTGGTTAGGATTGGAATTGGAATTGGTC